TGTGTGTGTGTGTGTGTGTGTTCTAGTTTGCTGGATGACTCTCTTATGATGGCTGAGAAGTGGCCTGCTTCTGACAATCCCCAAGGATGGCAGGAAAAGAGCAGGAGAAAGATCCTGAAGTCCACCAAGAGGGCATGGATGCCCCTGGATGAGCAGCTGCCTCCTGGCTTAGAAAAAGGTTGCACCAACCCCAGGCATGGTAAGAGCAATTTGAAGGGTTGTGTGTAAGTAGAATTCAGCAGCTGGAGGCAAATGAGGTGGGGAGATGACTTGGCTTTGAGGGGGACCAGTATTTCTGGCATGATAGCAGAAACCTCCGTGAAGCAGACACCTCTGATTTACCACACAGACACTCAGAACTCAAATCCTCCTGATGGACACAAACCGACTTATGACTCCCTCTGCTTTCTTACCTCTCCAACACCCCCTCATCTTGAATCCCACCACCCTCCCCAAACTCTGAATCCATCTGTGGTTCTGGCCTGAGGCATGAGGCTTCTTTAAGGTCATCAAACAAAAAATATATATTTTAAATTCAAATAAATACTTGCAGTTTGACAATTATTTTAATAATTCAAAGAGTAGTAAGAACAAAATTGCTTCTTCCCTTCTACCCCATTATGTGCAATACGTGAATCACTGATGGTTGGTTTTACCTCTGTATGTACTACCCAATTCATTTTACCCCTTGACAGTACTTCAGTTGGAGAACAAGAGTCACCCACATCCACAGGAGCCTATGGGTGAAGGTTGGCCATTTGAACCCACTTTGTGATGCTGCCTGATGGGAACCCTGGTGGCATATGGTTACGTGGTAGACTACTAACCGCATGGTCAGCAGTTTAAAACCACTAGCCACCCCACAGGAGAAAGACTGAGTCAGAAACAGCCAGATGGCAATGGCTATAGCCTTTCCAGTTCACCTGACACCCCGGGAGGAGGTGTGTCTACTGCCTCCTTGTTTGCTAGGATAAAGTCAAAGAAAACTGGTCCAGAGTAGCCTGTGGCCAACCAGATAAAAAAAAATTTTTTAAAGCAAGGAACCTGGCTTTCATCTCCTTTTTGCTGGTGGACGATCTGTTAAGCCAGTGGGAAAAAAACCCACCTTAAAAACTTGGTGTCTTTATAACACAGGGTGCCTTTGGCAACCCTGGGACTTCAGTGCAATTTATCCCTGGAACGAATGCAAATTTGGTTCCTAACCTGGCAGAGACCTCCTTACAAATAAACATTGCTGGCTGCCTGCCTTAGGTAAATGTCGTGATTCAATAAGGAGAGGCTCCGTGGTGATTTATATGCAACAAGAAAAAGACAAAAGTCTCCTATGCTGTTTCACCCTGCCTATTCATGCCAGGTAATTTCAAAATTACTCTAGCATCCCTTGTTCCGCTGTGATTTATTTGTCTTCCCTTTCACATTTTCTTTCACCAAAAAGAAAGAAAAACTTACCATCTCTTGGCAAGTTTACCCTGAAATCCCAGGAAAAGATGATTATGGAAAGCAGGAGGTTTTGCTGTGGGTGTAGGGGAGTTGGGGGTGTGTGTGTGGAGGGGAACAAACTTGCTTACAGCAACCAGGAGCTAAACATGTAGGGAATAGAGTTGTTGAGTGGTGACACAATGATCAGGTCAAGTAGGTTTTGCTGTTCCTGTGCCGGCCGGCTCACGGCTGTTTCTTTCACATTTGTAGAAGACGTCAAACAAGAAAGCATTCAGCAGTGGCTCGACTCTGGATTCTTGTGAGTGCCTCTTTGTGCCCTTCTGAAATAATTTGAAATAATTTGTGCGGACAAGGTCCCTCTCCCGTTTCCTCCTGATAGTTCTCCCTCCTGATAAATCCTTTGGGGGAGTCGTGTCTTGCTAACAACCTTGCTTTAAAGATACATTGATCTTCTGGTCGTCAGTCCCAATCTTGGCTATGGTTCGTCTCTTGGCAAGATCTATGAAACAATGCGAGCAACCTTGGTGGGGACAAGTGAAGTTCACAGAGATTTATTTTTTAATGGGAGCTCCAGTGATGACTGGACTACTGAAAAAGCTGCACGTCAGTTTAAAAGAACAGGATGTCATTTTAGACCCTGATGATTCACTGGTTTCCAAAAGTCCTTTCTTAATGAAGCCGAGCTCTGCATTTGCCTTTAACTGTTATGTAAAGGGAAACTTGTTATAGTCGATCGCCATACCTTGTCTGACTCTCAATGGTTTTGTTTCTTTGTAGGGCCCCTGTAAATGAAGATGGTCAGCAGGACATTGACCACATTGGTAAGACAAGAAGCTTCTGCAAGTAGATCTTAGTGGGGGATACACTGAAATGTCTGTCTGAATGTCTTCTCAAACTGAACACGGCTTCCAAAGAATCCTTTCAACTCAACTCCTTCCTTTCATATAAATGATGGAGTCCCAGGAGGAAAATTTACCCATGGGCAGGTCAGGGTCCAGACAAAACAACTCTGTCTAAGTCTTCAGGCAATTCAGACTGGCAGGAGACTCGATTGGTTCTATGAGAGGCATGATCAAATTGCTTTATTTTTAAATAGTTTACTTTTAATGGTTTCATTTGTTCCTCAGATTCTATTGTAATTTTATATCAAAATGTAGTGACTTTCCATTCTTTAGTCTCAAAATCACCATCACTCCTCTCCTCCTAATGATACATTCATTCTCAGTCATAACCAAAGACTGAATTCAACAGCAAACAGCACGAGCATTTCTGAGACAGCAAATGTATCACATGTGCTTCGCTGAAATTTGAAAAGACAATTTGACGTAAAAAGATACAAAATCTGGTGTAAAAAGAAAGAGAAACCTAATTACAAGTATCATTATTTTTACTTTTATAAAATAGAAGAAAATATTTCATAGACATTAAGACCCCTTGAGGAGCCCTGGTGGTTACCCTTTGGGCTGTGATCTGAAAGATCAATAGTTCGAAACCACCATCTGCTGTCTACTTCCTTAAAGATTGAAAGAGCTTTGGGAACCCTCTATAGGGTCAATCCAGTTACAGAATTGACTGACTGGCACAGGGGTTGAGTGTTGATTTAATAATATGTCCAGCATAAACAAAGGTAAGAATTTAAGAAATAAAAACGGGGGACGTTTCACATCTTAATTGCCAATGTCATGATACGAGCCTGGAACTGATGCCAGTGTCATCAGGATCTGTATGCAAATCTCTACTCCCTAGGAATTAAAGTCCAATCACGGCCTTCGTCCTGGGAGTTCAGTCAGTGAACTGCGGAGGCTCAGACATGAGGTAAAGACCCTAAGGGAATAGAGCTGATGACCGTTGCTCTGAGATCAGGAATGGACAGCTTCATTTTGCCGGGTTGTTAATAATAATGAAATAGCTTCTTACAGGCTTAATTGAGCCTTTGCTTTTTCCAAGGCCCTTTCTCATCTATCATATTTTGAGCTCGGCAACCTGTGGAGTGGCGAGGCTGCTTCTCAAGGTTGTTTTGCAGGTGAAGGACCTGGGGCACAGAATGGCCAAATGCCGTGGTTTGTGGTTACAGCTGGTGGGAGGCAGGAGGGGGAACATGAAGCCCAGGCATTCTGTGAGGTCTGGGAAGTATGGCGGCCAAGCCTTGGTAACCTTGCTAATGAGAAGAAGAAGACAACTGTGCGGTAGCATAGTGCATGACTCATTGGGCTGCTAACCACAAGGTCAGTAGTTTGAAACCACCAGCCACGGGACTGGAGATGAGACTTATATTCCAGTAAACATTTAGTCTCAGAAACCCACAGCAGGGAGCCCTACTCTGCCCTCTAGGGTTTCCATGTCACAATGACAGTGAGGGATTCTTTTTGGTTTGGGTCTTTTATTTATGGAAATAAAAAATGATTCTATCCAGTCCTATAAAATTCTGAGACTATGTAGAGTGGTATATTCATCTCCTACAGCTGCCATAACACATATTTAGTGGCTTGAAACAGTGTTTATGCCTCGCTGTCTGAAGACTAGAAGTCTGAAATCAAGATGTTGGCAGTGTCCTGGTCTCTCCAGAAGGCTGAGTGGAAGAAGTGTCCCTTGTCTCTTCCAATTCCTGGGGGTCGTTGGCAATGCTGGGAGTTTCTGGTCTTGTAGCTGCATCCCTGTCCCTGCTCTGTCTTCTCCCCGTGTAGATCTTTGTGTCCGTCCCTCTTCTCCCAAAGACACCAATAACTAGATTTAGTGAGACCCCTAATTATGACCTCCTTTGTAGCTAATTATATTTGCAAAAACTCTATTTTCAAAGAAGGTTGCATCCTGAGATTCTGGATGGGCATGGCTTTTGATAGGACCTATGGAGTCCAATAAGGATCTTTGATGTCACTATGGGCTAAGCATTGGGTGACCAGCCATGAGGTCAGCCGTATAAATCTACCAGCTACTCCATAGGAGAAAGGTAAAGCTATCTGCTCCCTTTAGTCTGTAAGTTTGAAACACTAAGGAGTAGTTCTCCTCTGTCCGATACGGAAGGAGCCACTGGTGGTGGAATCACTCAATGGTAGTGGGCAGATTGAACCAGTACTACCGGAATTCATTCTGAGGCTGGTCACCCCCGTTGATCTTTATCTTTAAGAAACAGATTAATTCCTCTGAGTGAACACCAACTACACAGGAAAGAATGTTCCATTCAAGGTTTGGGCTCAACCAAGTTCAATAACTGTCCTATAACCACAAACACAATAGAGCCTCATTTGGTTCACAGATGGGGCCAACAGGACCAGAGGAATGAGACTGTTAGGGTATCTCTCCCACGCCGGCTGATTCTTTCTTCATCCCAGCACCATCCGGGAGCCCTCTATAAGAAAACCTGCAGAGGATAGCCTCATCCCCTATCCTGGGGAACAAAGGAAACATCAGTACTTTCCCCATGGATACACCTAGAACCTGTTCCAACATGTAGGTTATACAATATGCACTTGTTTAGCAAAACACTAAAGTCATGATTGCAGGTGAGAAAACTAGAACTAACTAATTCGTTCAGTCAACTAATTATGTCTAATCTGTATCCGATTATATCTTAAGCAAATTACGTCTAACTCTAGCGATGAGGTAGTTTGGGTCAGATATGTGCTTATGCTCATTGACTACTTGATGAGTGGTGAATCATCTGCCTTTGATTTTAGAGATTCCTTCTCTGCACCCCAGAGAGATCCCAAAAGAGTGAACGTAGATCCTTTAAAAAATAATATACTACATAATATAAACATACAAATCAAACAATCAAATTTGTGATCTCTCGTGTAAGAAAAGGATCAAATAAATCCAACTAGACATAATAAGTGTCCCCATAATGCTTGTCAAAGGCAGGAATTCAGAGCCAGCAACTGTGCTGAGCGGAGATTTTTTTTAATGAAGAACATAAAGCTTCTGTTCCCAAAAATGTCATTGTGAATTTCCAGGCCCGTTATTATCTGAGGATGTAACTTGCACCAGCTCTTCTACAAGACCGCTACTCATTACATTCCTACTTCCTGATCTTTCTTCATCCAACTCTTCCTGCCTTACGGCGTTTTCCTGTTCTGTTCTCCTGTAAGCTTCCTTTGGCACTCCAGCCCAAGTCCCAGCCTCTCTGCAGGATCTTCCCTGACTTGTCCAGCACAAATAAGCCATTTCTCGTTTGAACACCAGTAACGAAAAAGAACACCCATTACCATTGTGTCAATCCCAAAGCTTAAAAAGTACTATAAAGGTTTTTGAGACTGTGAATCTTTATGGGGACAGCTTCCTCTTTCTCACACCACCTTTGTGATCAGCAGTCCGACACTGATTTCACCAGCCTGCCAGGGCTGGAGGTGTAGTGGTTATGCACTGGGTGCTGACCCACAAGGTCAGCAGTACCAAACCATCAGCTGCTCCTCGGGAGAAGGATGGGGCTTTCTACACTCGTAAAGAGTTACAGATTCATAAACTTACTGAGACAGTTCTACCCTTTCCTGTAGGGGCCCTATGGGTTGGCACCACCTCCATGGCAGAGAGAGACAGAGAATCCCTTAAAGGACCCCTGCTGCTTCGGTAGTTAAGTGCTCATATCCGAACCCATCAGCCACTCCAGAGGAGGGACATGGGACAACCTGGCTCCATGAAAATGGGTAGCCTTGGAAACTCGATTGGGCCATGGTCACATTGTCAGGATCCACTCAAGGGCAGTGGGTGTGGTGTGATTTGGGAACATCATTTCGGTTCCTGGGTGCTCTAAATGGTTTGCGCTAATCCACTAATCTGAAGGTTGGCAGTTCAAACCCACCAAGAATGTCATGGAAGAATGGCCCCGGGATCTGCTTCTGTAAAGATTACAGCCAAGAAACCCTATGGAGCATGGGTGTATGCCATAGCACAGAGCGTTCTCCATCCATCAGAATCAACTGGTAGGCAGTGGATTTGTTGTGTTGTCATGGTTTTTTTTAATTGACACCCAACCTGTGCCCTTCCCATGTGACCCTTAGTTGATGCTACCTCATATTATCATGAATGGGGTCTATCTCATTAACAAATTTGGAGACTCAACTGGGGCAAGAATTATCCATCAAAAGATCTGAGTCACCCTGGCTCATGATGAAGACTATCTAGCCAGGTTGGGAAACCACCACAAGGAGGCCCTGTATTGGGCAATGACAAAAGAATATAGATCGGAACGAGTCAAGGGGGAAAGCAACAGGAGCTTGAACAAAGGCACAGTCTGAGAAGGAAAAATAAATCTGTGCAAGAAAACAGATGAAGGATAACCGAAACAGAAAAGTCATTTCATAAGAAGTAATGGTAGAACTTTTGTTGTTGCTAAATTAAATCTGGCCAGCTGAGAGGGAATCGCCCTGGAAGTCAGAGGACTGGGGTAGTGAGGGTGTAGCATCTCATGCCAAAGCATATCACATGAACAAGTCATTTCAACCATGGTGTGGGCTGAGTAGAATTTTGAAATCATATCTTTGTTCTGGAATCAAGGTCGTGGGTAATTGGTGAGAACGTCATTAGGTATAGCTTTGGAGAGAATTGAAAAAAGGGTGTTGCACAAAACTTCTTAAAAGTATTGAAAGATAAGGCTGTTACTTTGAGGACTAAGCTGCCTCCCACCTGAGCCATGGTATTTCAATCACCTCATACGCATGTGGAAGTTAGACATTGAATAAGAAAGACTGGTGAGAATTGATCATTTGAATTATGGTGTTGGCGAAGAATATTGTAAGTACTATGGACTACCAAAAGCCCAAACAAAACATATCTTACAAGCAGTACTGCCAGAATGCTCTTGAGAGTCAAGGATGGCAAGTCTTCA